CCTTGGTTCTTCTATGTTCTCAAAGAGTTTGTGTAGAACAAGTAGTATTTCTTGCTTAAATATGTATAAGAGTCATCCAGTGAAGATACCTGGCCTAGAGTTCTTTTTGTAAGAAAACCCCAGTTTTTAACACAGGATGAACTTACCTTGCAGTCTCTATCAGCACAGCATATAGCACCAAGAATGAAGGGAAATCAAGTTGTGAAAAATTCTATTGCCTAAATAATGCTTCCAGCCCACAGAGTTCTACCAAACACTGTGTTTTCCTGGCTTGGGAGATAGTGAAAAGCAATGTAAGTGTTTTGAGTAGACAGATACCACTACAGTACTTTTTTAACTTATAATTTTTACTGAGGCATAATATATGTACATCTTTATGGGCTACATGATGGTAATTCATACATGTATACAATGTACAATAATCAAAGCAAGATAATAAACATTTCCATCTCTCCACCCATTAATCACTGTTATGTGTTGGGAATTTCATACCTTTCTAGTCATTTTGAAATACATCAGATTGTTTTACCAATAGTGATCCTACTGTGCTAAATAAGAAGCAGAAGTAATTCCTTCACTCTGTGGCTTGGTGGCTGTCACTGAACTTCTTCCCACTCTACCCTACCCTCGCCCTTCCCAGTCTCTAGTGACTACTATTCCACTCTGTTCTTGTGTAAGACTGACTTACGGATTTTCACAAATGAGTGATAATACATGGTGTAGTATGGCATAATATTTTTTTTTCTTTTATTATTCATATGTGCATACAAGGCTTGGTTCATTTCTCCCCCCTGCCCCCACCCCCTCCCTTACCACCCACTCCCTCTCCCCCCCACCCCCTCAATACCCAGCAGAAACTATTTTGCCCTTATCTCTAATTTTGTTGTAGAGAGAGTATAAGCAATAATAGGAAGGAACAAGGGTTTTTGCTGGTTGAGACAAGGATAGCTATACAGGGCATTGACTCACATTGATTTCCTGTGCGTGGGTGTTACCTTCTAGGTTAATTCTTTTTGATCTAACCTTTTCTCTAGTTCCTGGTCCCCTTTTCCTATTGGCCTCAGTTGCTTTAAGGTATCTGCTTTAGTTTCTCTGCATTAAGGGCAACAAATGCTAGCTAGTTTTTTAGGTGTCTTACCTATCCTCACCCCTCCCTTGTGTGCTCTCGCTTTTATCATGTGCTCATAGTCCAATCCCCTTGTTGTGTTTGCCCTTGATCTAATGTCCACATATGAGGGAGAACATACGATTTTTGGTCTTTTGGGCCAGGCTAACCTCACTCAGAATGATGTTCTCCAATTCCATCCATTTACCAGCGAATGATAACATTTCATTCTTCTTCATGGCTGCATAAAATTCCATTGTGTATAGATACCACATTTTCTTAATCCATTCGTCAGTGGTGGGGCATCTTGTCTGTTTCCATAACTTGGCTATTGTGAATAGTGCCGCAATAAACATGGATGTGCAGGTGCCTCTGGAGTAACAGTCTTTTGGGTATATCCCCAAGAGTGGTATTGCTGGATCAAATGGTAGATCGATGTCCAGCTTTTTAAGTAGCCTCCAAATTTTTCTCCAGAGTGGTTGTACTAGTCTACATTCCCACCAACAGTGTAAGAGGGTTCCTTTCTCCCCGCATCCTCGCCAACACCTGTTGTTGGTGGTGTTGCTGATGATGGCTATTCTAACAGGGGTGAGGTGGAATCTTAGTGTGGTTTTAATTTGCATTTCCTTTATTGCTAGAGATGGTGTGGCATAATATTTTTTAAACGTTCTTTAAAATCTTGTCTAGTGGCCCAAACAATGTATACACATAAGTAAGTGTAAAAACAATAAAATAAAATTTAAAGGAGAATTTAAAAATAGATAAAATCTCGTCTGCAGCCGGTAGCTAATAGGAGTATGTAAGCTGGTTTCTGACTGTGCTGCCAGAATGCTTCCTTCCAGCCCTGTGCTCTGCTCTGGTCAGGCTACAAGGTCAAGGGTAAAGGAGGCACTGAAGTTGCATTGCCGATAGACACTATCATCTGAATTTTTTAGAATTCTTATGTATGAGCACATAAAGAATACTGCTCCATACCTTGCAAATAAAAACCAATATAACAAGTTGATACATACCCATCCTCATTTTTCTCTGAATTAAAGATACTCCTGTAGGCATTTTCTTTTTGCCAATCCCAATGGGATTGTTGTGCTAAAATTTCCTTCTTTTGCTTAACTAACAGACATTTCATTAACATTTTCTTATTAATAGATGCATACTTTTCCATAATTAGAATGTCCCAAAGTTTATTCAACCATTCTATTTGTCAGACTGTTCCCTGTGGCTTGCCTTTGGAAACAGTGCAGTAGAAAGCACCTTTGTACATGCATCCCTAAATTACAGAGCTTTTCCTTCTGTTGGAGAGTCCTGCGAGCAGGATTGCTGAATCCAGGGGCAATACACATTCCTCATCATTGAACATATTTTTTGTATGTTTATTGTATACAAGACTGTTTACATTTCTTTTTCTGAAATTGCAGGTATCTTTAGCCATTTTTATCCTGATTTGTCTTTTTCCTAGCAATTTGAAGGTGTTCTTTGAATATTAGGAACATGTTATTTGTACTGGAAGAATTTTCACAAAATCTGTGCTTTTTTCCCATTTGGGAGAAAGTCCAAAGTCTCTTTAGACAAATAATTTTTTAAATTTATAAAATTAAAATCTGTTACTTTTTCATTGTGGCTTTTGTTGGTTTGCTTGTGGTCATCTTATTACTGTTTTGTGTGTGTGGTGTGTGTGTGTGTGTGTGTGTGTGTGTGTGTGGTGGCGGGGTTTGAACTGAGGGCCTCATGCTTGCTAGGCAGGTGCTCTATCTGAGCCACTGTGCCAGCCCTTTTTTTAAGATAGGGTCATGTGAACTATTTTGCCTCTGCTGGCCTCAGTTATCCTCCTGATCTCTGCCTCCCAAGTAGCTAGGATTATAGATGTAAGCCACCGGTGCCCAGCTACAGTTCATTGTTTACATCCGAGCATTTTATCTACATGGAATTTAATTGTGTGTGCAATGACCAGAAGAATCAAAACTTGGAATCTTAGAATTTGCCTTATCTTTTCATATCTTGTGGCATTGTCCATGTTTTCATAATACACCCTTCAGCTCATAGTTCCTCTGATTTCAGAGCTTTTTCATGTCACGCTGCTATGCTATTAAAGTGAGGTTGCTTAGGAACCATATCTCTTTCTCCACTACATCCTTCAGGGGAGTGTAAAACACTACAGAGAACCTAGGCACTCAGAAAACACACAAGGTGGGTAGGTGTTGAATTCACTCCTGCTACTATGATTCCTTGGTAAATTTAATATTAGCCACACTTTCTGGGTAAACGAGGGGAATGTATCATTCTCCTTAAAGCCATCCCTTGTCTCCTGAGCTCACTCTGTTCCTCCTTCCTGTTTTCCTTGTTCTATCTGAGGCCTGCCTTCTTTCTAGAAACCTAGTTTATTTTATGACTCCGTAAGAACTTTATGGAGGCCTTCTTCAAACCTCTTCTTAAAAGCCACAGCATTTATAAAGTCTGCCACACTACTTAGCACTTGGTGGACAGTTGGATTTGCTCCTTTTCAGTACCATCACTGTATTGGACATATAGCTCACTGGATGCGTCGGCTACAACTGAAACAATCTCACATGCCATGGCTCTTTGTAAAGACTGAAGAATAGCCTCAATATTTATATGAACCAGCAATCAAGGAAAAACTGGAAAATGCCCCTAAAAGCTGTTGAATACCAAATTTTTCAAGTGAGCTAGCATAATCATATTTAAATTGTTTTAAACATATTTGTTAAGTGAATACATAACTAGGTGTTGCCCTGTCTGAAGGCACAGGTCAACAGACTTTCTTAAGGTATTTTCTATTTGTTTCCTCTATGGCCCTCTCCAACTTAGACCTTAGAAATGGAAAAAAACTTGCTATGACCCTGTATTTAGTCTGAGAATAACACCTGAATGGTTCTCACCTCTCTCTGCATGCATTTTTTATGGTGAAATGGCTAATTCTAGGGTCAGGTAGGGAATATACAAAATGAACTTGGGGCATCTTGTAATGCCAGAAAACAAGCACATTTTGTTTTGTCAAAAACAAAATGATAGGGATATCTCTAAGGAACACAGAAGCTAACTGAAAAAGCTCCAAATGACAAAAGCTGGAACAATCTGAGCAACAAAATAATGTATTAGGAAGCAGCACAGATGATAAAAATAAATGAGTTCATACTGCTATAACTGATTAAGTGGGGCGAGATCTCCCACATAGAATCCAAAACAATTTATGTGGCAAACTCTGCCCTCAGAAAGCTAAAGCATAACTACCTACTCCTTACGGAATATGCTTGATTTGCTTCTAATGAGTGCAATAGGAAAAAGAGGGAGCAAAGTGAGTTGGGAAACCTGGCAAAGGCTGCATAGCAAAGTGATCAAGGCTAACATCATCAATCAGTCATGTTCATAGTATTATCCTTGATATGTGAGTGACACTTTACCTCTGTGGTCTTTATTCTAAAAGCCAGAGCCAGTGTTACCATGGAAAAAACAGCCAGTTCCCAATTAAGGCACATTCTACAAAATAGCTGACCAGTCCCCTCAAAACTACCGAGTCATCAAGAACAATGTCTGAGAGACTGTGATAGCCTATAGGAGTCTAAGGAAATATAACAGCTCAATGGAAAATGCTATCTGGATGGGATTTTGGAACAGAAAAAGGGCATTTAAGCAAAAACTAATCAGAGTAAAATGGATTTCAGTTAACAATATGTCATTGCTCAATTAGTAAGATAAATGTACCACAGTAAGATGTTAAGAAAACTAGGCTGGGGGTAATATGGAAGTTCTCTGTACTGTATTTGGGCCTTTTCTAAAAAGCTAAAACTGTTCTAAAATTAATAAATGTTTTTCAAATATGTATTTTGGCAACAGATTGACTACATGCTTAGCTTCACAACTGTGCTTTTCATTACAGGGTGCTGGTGACAGTTTTGTGGGAGCTTTGGCCTTCTACCTGGCTTACTACCCAAATTTATCCTTGGAAGAAATGCTCAAAAGATCCAATTTCATTGCAGCAGTCAGTGTCCAGGCTGCTGGAACACAGTCATCATATCCACACAAAAAAGACCTTCCAACTACTTTGTTTTGATTGCTATTAGCCCCAAAATAAATATACCTGGAAATAAAATGTTTAAGGGGTGGCCACTCTTAGCTAACACTAGAAAATGTCCTTTCTTTGCAAATACTGTGTTCATTTATTAGAAGACATCTTCAGTTTGCTTCTCATGCATTCACAAAAGCCAACTAGAATTAGATTGCACCATCAGCATCTGTACAAACATTACCCCTGTTCAAGAACTTGCAAATTCTATTGCCAACAGACTGCTAATGCTATGTGCAGGGGTTGTGAGCGGCAGTGTCAGAGCCAGAGCAGAGAATTCAGTAAGGGAAAAGGGCATAGGAGCTGGATCACCCAAGCACCTCCTAAGACTACAACTGATATGTCCCTTTGGCCTAAGTGTTGTCAAACTTACAGTTTGTAAGAAGCCAGAATTTGGATATTGATTTTTCATTCAATAGTTCAATATTTATGTGTCAGCAACTGGTTTTTAAAAAATCCAAACACCTGTGGGCTCCATTCAGCTCCAGGGCTAAATATACAAGTCATTCATTAGGCTAGATGTTAAGGCTTTTATTTTTTAAAGTGATTCATGTATGTCACAGACCCTTTACACTGGCTTAGCTAGAATCATCTAAAGTTTTCTTGTAACTTACAACCAGTGTACAATTCTACCTAAAAATAGCCAGGGTCTCACCTGTTGCTTTGAACCAGAGCTTTAAAAGATGTCATAAAATAGCTGACTGACTATACCACAAGCTCTTAAGACTCAACAGCTGTTTACCTCTAATCCCATTTCCAGAGAGCTGCTTTTCATTTCCTACACAGACACAGATTGGGCCATGGGGAGGGAACACCTGCTATTTGGGAACAGCAATGGTTCCCTAGTGCTTGTAGCATTAGGGTGGGCATGCTGTAATTCGCTCATACAAATACTTTTAATGAAGTAGATGTGAGCCAGAAGAGTTTAAAGAAAAAAACTGATCCTTTCAGCTACAAACCTGAGGGAAAAGCAAAAAAACTGGAGTGTTTTGAAAATCTGTGGTAACCCTGAGTGAGAAAGTGTTTGATGTGGGCAGGGCAGAGGTGCTTATCTGAGCATCAGAGGCTAGCAGGGATTTCCCACTTAGCTAGCTGTGCAGTAGCACTAATGACCAGAAGCAGTAGCAGGGGCTTTATAAAATATACCATAGTTCCTCTTACTTTAAAAGAGGAGAAAGACCTAGGGGATAAAGAAATTCAAAGCCATCTTTTTAAAAACCCTAGACACTGCTTTGGTGACATGGATTTGAAAATAAGGGCCAATGGCATTTTTCTTAATTATAAAAGCACAAATAAAAAACAGAGTTCTCTTGGTTTCTTTTGCTCTTCTTCCTGTTTGCCTGTCATCCATTTCTGTTATTACATGGGAATTTCTTCCAAGATCACCTGGAATGGTACTCTGCCTTTTCTATGAAGTACAAGGAGGAACAACCTAGAAACTCAAACTAGAAACTCTCATTATGGAAAAATGTCTTTTATTGTATGAAACAATGGTTTTTATCTTGGCAATGTTGTTGATTTTTTTATTTCAAACAGTGGAAGAAAATACCACCAAGAGACAATTGTACAGGCTATTTTAATACATTTATTAAGAGCTATAAAAATATTGAGAAAGATAAATAACTGTGATGCAATGATAACTGTCCTGAAGAACATTCTTCCACTGCATTGTTTCCCCTCACAATGGCCTTCAATCACAGGAGGCAATGAGGCTGTACCATTTCCTCTACTTTTATTGCATGCCACACGATTTCTGAATAAGATCCCCACCCTCAGTCTTCTCATTTATAAATCAAATTCATTTTCAATCCATTGTTTAGAGGGAGCGTATCTTTTTCTGTTCCATGAAGAGGACTTTTTTGTTCACTGTGGAGGGAGAAAGAAGGGTTATAGCAAAAAACTAAAAAGTATCATCACCATTTTTATTAAAATACACATGATACTCTAAGCCTTCTCCTTGCTCTTATTTTACTATTCTTTTGACATGAGGATGGAGTTGATTTTCAAACTTAGTCCCAGGGACCAGAGAAGGAGGAGAATTAGGAAAACAAAGGAAGGGCCACCAGCCAGTCAGTGGCACCCTTGGTATCCCATGAAGGCATTATTTCATTGTGAAATAGTCACATTATAAAAGAAAATTAGGCTGGGCACTGGTGATGACTCATGCCTATAATCCTAGCTAATCAGGAAGCAAAGATCAGGAGGATCACGGATGGAAGCCAGGCCTTGAAAAATAGTTCACGAGACCCTATCTCAAAAAAAACAATCACAAAAAAGGGCTCAAGATGTAGGCCCTGAGTTCAAACTCCAGAACCACAAGAAAAGAAAAGAAAATTAGGGGGCTGGTGGAGTGGCTCAAGCGGTAGCATGCCTGCCTAGCAAGCACAAGGCCCTGAGTCCAAACCCCAGTACCACCAAAAAAAAAAAAAAATTAGGAACTGGAGGTGTGGCTTAAGCAGTACAGTGCCTGCTTTGCAAATTCAAAGCCCTAAGTTTTAACCCCAGTCCCACCCAACAAAAAAAGTAGAAAGAAAATTAGGGGGCAAAACTGGAAAACATTCAGTGTCTTCATTTGGCTGGTGTCCACTCTTGCAATACACAAGCAAGAACAGGCTGGGAGCTACGCTCCAAAGAGCAGTGAGAACTGAGCAGACCCCACAAGTGGCAATCTGGCAAAAGGAGTAAATACCATGGGAACTTTCCAGAGCTAGTTTAATACACCCAAATAGGAATGTTTCAGTTGGTAATCAAGTATTATAACCCAAACTGCAACACTATTTGCTGAAACAAAACCAAAAGTGCTATCTGCCGACATGAAAGATTGGTAGCTATGTACCATAGCCCAACATTAACTTCCGATTCCCCCCACTTTCCCCTCACCACTTCACCGCCCCACCCCCCACACACACACCTGATTCTTCTTTGCAAAAACAAAACAAATGCACCTAAGGAAAATCCAGGAACTCAAAGCAGTGTGATGTAACTCCTCCAAGATCCCCACCATAAAACAAGTAAGAGTTTAACTGTTTTTTCTTCTACAATTAAAATGGAACATAGACAGTTCCTAACTGTCTATGATAAATTAGCTAGGGAGCTTGTTTAAAATATATTCCTACTTCTTACCTCCATACCAACCCTAATTCTGTTTCAGAAGAACTACAGCTGGACTGGAAGGCTCCTTTTTTAAAAGTCCTCAGACAGAAAAATTCTGATGGGCAGCTGAATTTAAGAAACATTAACCAGTCAACAGACATTTACCAATAAAATTAATAAAAATAAAAGGTTCTACATAAAGGATACTTTAAATCATCTAAAATATAAGTAGGATTGATCCTGCTAAGACTCCAAGAACTACAAAGATTACAAGATGTTAGTTAAGAACCAAGATACTTTCCCATTGTACAGAGTTGTTAGTTGTAAGAAATAGTTCCCCCACATTTTTCTACATGGAAGTAAAAAAATGGAGGACTGGGCCAGGTGCATGGGGCTCATACCTGTAATCTTCACTACTCGGGAGGCAAAGATCAGGAGGATCACCATTCAAAGCCAATCCAGGCAAATAGTTCATGAGACCCTATCTGGAAAAAACACCCAACACAAAACAGTGCTGGTGGAGTGGCTCAAGTGGCAGATTACCTACCTACCAAGCATGAGAACCTGAGTTCAAACCCCAGTACTGCAAAAAAAAAAAAAAAAAAAAAAAGGAGGGCTGGGGATGCAGTGTAGCTCAGTGGTAGAACACTTGCCTAGCTAGCATTTGAAAGGCCTGGGTGCCATACCCAGCACTACCAAAAAAAAAGGTTAAAAAGGGAACTTCTTTCACTGAGAAGCATTCAGGAGACTTTAAATGACCGTGACCAGGGGCCACTGATTAAGACTAGTAGAGCAAAGCTTTATTCAGGAAAATTCTTTTTTTATTATTATTATCATTTATTACTGTACTGGGGGTACACTGTGACATTTACAAAAGTTCTTACAATATATCATACTTGAATTCACCCTCTACATCACAGGAAAATTCTTTCACTCACTGTATTCATTTCTTTAATTCATTCCTTTCATCCAAAGAATAAATATTTTCGTCCACGGAGTTATGCTAGGCAAGTGGAGTTTACAAAAGTTTAAGAGCTCCTGATTGAATACACTAGTACATCCGAGGTGCCTGTATGAGTGTCCAGAAAACCCCTAAGAACCTAAAGTCCTCAAGGAGAGGATAAAGCTTAGCCCCCCAAGGAGCAGCAGAGCACCATTTGAGTAAAACTAAAACCGGAATGGTGGTAATGAGTCTGGAATGGCCATGGGGCTCTGGAGCCTAGAATGCTATGCTGAACCCAGGGGAAAGTCCTGATTTTTAAAAAGGTAAGTTTTAGGAAGATAAAGTTGGCTCCAGTTGTGAGTCCCTGGGCAAATTTATCAAAATATTCTCCCCTCAGTTTCTTTCCTTATGAGAGCAAGAATTCCATTTCCTTTCCACAGCTCCTACCAGACACAATGAGCACTCAATACGTGTTAAGTTGAAATGACACAATGCTATCCACAATCATAAGTTAATTTTGTCAAAATATTTGCTGTTTAACTCATAGAAGAATGATTCTGCCAAGTTCTTTCCCTATAGCTAACCTAAATCTATTCTGTTTCAATTAAACTCTACATTGCCTTGTTTAGTCATCCATGGAATTAAAACTGACAAGTTTTCATTCTCCTTATTATAAGCAAAGTCTAAAAAGCTTATACCTTAGCCTTTAATCCTTCCTCCTTAGAAATCAGCATCTAGTTTTATATGCGGAAAAGGAGTCTGAAAGGACAGAGGCAGTGCAACTGTTTCTTGCCAGAGAGTACTATGAAATGCTCAAATAACTGGGAATGTTTCTATGTTTCTTTATCTTATTTGCTTCATAAAACAAACTAAACATTACCCTCAAACTAACTTTACTCATCACAATAACATATGACAGAAGAACTGCCAAACTATTTGATACCCAGCCAATGGGGCAGGCCAAGGCAAACATATTGATCACAAAAGTCTGTAGAGTAGGTAAGCAGAAAGCCAGGCAGTCTGCTATCCCAGAGCATTCTTCAATAAAGACAAGCACTACACTGTCAAGGCTCAGACCATTCCTTATTAGAAAAGTCCTAATTGTCTACTGGAAATTTATATATAAATATTTTCTCTCACTATTTGAACTTATGATCAGAATTTTTTATGGTTGTATCCTTTCCCAATTTCAAAACTTAAAAAGTTAACTTTATTATAAAGTTCATCATTAAACTTTATTATTCTAATAACTTTCCCACCTGAGGAATCAATCCTGACACTAACTTCTAATCCTCAAGTATAATTCAAGAATTCCCTTTCTATTATGATAATGGCCAGAAACATGAACACCACAAAAACAGGGAATTTTATTGTTGTTAAAGAATAGAACGTAAGCAATTTTAAGCTTTGGTGAGTTCTTGAGCTTCTCAAAGACTTTTTTTTTTAATTTTTATTTTATTCATATGTGCATACAATGTTTGCACCACCCCCACCCCCTCACTTCCTGACAGAAACTATTTTGCCTTATCTCTAATTTTGTTGAAGAGAGAGTATAAGCAATAATAGGAAGGAACAAGGGTTTTTGCTAGTTGAGATAAGGATAGTTTTACAGGGAGTTGACTTGCATTGATTTCCTGTGCATGTGTGTTACCTTCTAGGTTAATTCTTGATCTAACCTTTTCTCTAGTTCCTGGTCCCCTTCTCCTATTGGCCTCAGTTGCTTTAAAGTATCTGCTTTAGTTTCTCTGCATTGAGGGCAACAAATGCTATCTAGTTTTTTAGGTGTCTCACCTATCCTTGTACCTCCCTTGTGTGCTCTTGCTTTATCATGTGATCAAACTCAAGTGTCTTTTTTTAAACATCTCCTAACATTAACACAGCCTTACCTTACTAAGAAGCAGTTATACAGGACACAAAACGAAATGGAAAGGACTGGAGGCATAGTTCAAATGGCAGACCACTTGCCCAGAATGCAAGAGGCCCTAGGTTCAACACCAGGACCACCAAAAAAAAAAAAAACCAGTCTAGAGTTCTGAAATATTTGGAGCAAGTGGCGGAGTACCTGCTTAGCAAGCATGAGGCTCTGAGTTCAAACCCCAGTGACATACAACAAAATGAAACATGATAGTTTACTTTGCACAAATCTGCACACCAAATCCAGAAACAGGCTAGGCTTCCAACAACAATCAGGCTGTGACTCTACAATTTGTAAGTGGACAATTTGGCCTTGGGAACTTTTGTCTCTTTTAGCAAATACTTCTCTCTGCTGAGATCATTTAAAGTTTATTATGGCATTTTAATGGATGGCACAAAATGGAATTTCCTACCCTCATGCACCAATACGTAGATACTATGCTCATTTGATGCATCCAGACACCATTACTTAGGACTCTGCACCCTCCCCTTCTTAAGATGCTTCATTTCCAGGATGCTACTGCCTATTCTCTTTATGGGGCCAGTTTCTTGCCTTCCAGTCACAGTTAACTATACCCTCCTAGACCTTCCCTGAGCTATCCTAGCTAAAATAAGTCATCCCATCACACCACAACTTCCTCCTACATCTCAGCTTCCTCATCATTTTGCTCACACCAATTATCACAATGTCACTTTCCCCCTCTCCCTCTCAATCCAGACTGTAAATGGAAGAGCAAAGGATCTGAATCTGTGCATCCCACACCTGGGATAGAGCGAGCACTGTAATCAATACTCAATACACATTTGCTAAATGAATGCTGCAGTGCCAAAGGAGCTACAGAACTGCCAAAAACATTTAGTCTGGAAAGGGGGCAACACGCCTTGAAAGCATTTTAACCTATTATGGAGTAACTTCTCTGAATCTTACCAACTGGATCATAGTGCAAAAGAGTCAGTTTCTCTCGGAGTCGGCTTCTCTTGGTGTTGAAGGAAAAACCTGTCCCAGCTTGGCTCACCATTTTCACCAGAATTGTTCTAAGATTAAAAAGGAAGCTATTAGGTGAATTCAAGTATGATATATTTGATACACTGTAAGAACCTTTGTAAATGCCACAATGTACCCCCACCCAGCACAATAAAGGAGGGGGGGAAGGAAGCTGTTATAAACTGAGAGCTGGGGAATACACTAGACTGTCACGAGCGACAGCACACTGAGAACCTTGTGGAGTCACAGCAGTTGTGAACATTAGTTGGCTACAAGAAGGTTCAGTTCTAAGTGAGCTATGCTTCCCATAAAATACTGTTTTGATTCCCAATGTTTAGTCCACTACACAGAGTTACTTGGTAATGACCTAACCAAAACAGTGAAAACAATCAAGCCACATTAGGGGACTAGCCTGTTCCTCTCTCATGAGAACAGAAGCCAAGAGAGGAAAAAAAACAAAAGTCCTGGCAACCACAGCTGGCCAGTGAAACAATGATAAAGATAGTTACTTCAGAAAGAACCCTCTCTTACAGGGCATGAGTGACAAAAGTACAATCAGCAAGAAACAGAATTTAGAAAGCAAAAGTTTTACACTGTTCATGTACAAACCCTGTGCCCCTTTGTATTTCATTTAAGTTACAGTCATCCAAAGCAGTAAGTCTGTGTTTGCCTCACTGGACCTTTAAATACCTGTGCTGTTTACTCTTTCATTTGTCTTATCTCCTCATGTAGACCATGTTATTTCAATGCAATTCCAAAACAAATTGAAGCATTTCATACTACACTACACGTCACTGCATTACTTTCAATGTACAGTACAGTGTCTCAAAAGAGACATACAATATTTATTAAGATAAACAATAACTAGTCATTCATGCAACAAAGATTCAACAAATCTCCATCAAGTGCCTACTCTTGAAAAGCACCAGGGGAAAAATAAAGCTCTCTAAATCTTTGTCCTCTAGCAGCTAAAGGTATGGTATGGAAGGTAAGTTGGCACATAAGGCCTAAAAGTAAAACATATATGACAAATGTCACAAAAAAGGTGCAAATAACATGAAAGATTCCTACAGAATTTGAGGATAAGGAATTCTGATACAAATAACTGAATTGTGGCAAAAACTGTGAATCAATAAAAGATGTTGGGAGGGGATACTAACATACATGTTTTTCATTAACTTTAATCCCAAAAAATTAGTTTTAAGAAATTTTGATGTCATGAGTTAAAAATCAGGCTGGTTTAGAATTTTCCTATTTTTAACAGAGAAATCTTCAGTTACTGTCTATAAAATTTATCTTGAAGGCATGGCTCACACCTGTAATCCTAGTTACATGGGAGGTTGAGATTGGAAGGATCACAGGTGGAGGCCAGCCTGGGCAAACAGTTCACAAGACCCCAATCTCCAAAATAACCAGAGCAAAAATGGACTGGAGCTGTGGCTCAAGCAGTAGAGCATGTGCTTGCAAACACATAATCCTGAGTTCAAACCCCTGTCCACCAAAAAAATAAACAATGGACTGGAGGTGTGGCTCAAGGGTAGGGAGAGCACCTGCTTTGTAAATACAAGCCTTTCCTTAGTTCAAACCCCAGTCCCACCAGTTTGATATTTCTAATTTCTCTGATAACAGCGTGGAGTCTTTAATCTTTGCTATTTTTGAAGTTTGTATACTATGAATGCAAAGGATTACAAAACTCATAAACAGGCTTTATGATTTAATCAAATCACAGCTTATTCAGTTAGATTCCTGTAGGAACTCCAGATAAATAGCTCCCGGTCCTCAGTTTGAAGAGACAAATTTGGTGGTAGTCCAAAAAGAGCATAGCCAGACAGTTTGTTTAGGAACAAGGCAGTCAGCTCATAAATCCTGGGACTAGAAAAGACACAAGAGCTCCTTTAAGCAAAGTATTTGAATGTTCACTGAAGTTGTTCAGGAGAACAGGAGAGCAATAAAGACAGTCCCTCAGGATTTTTCAACTTTACCACAGTGTGAATGCAAAGCTTTCAATAGAAGCTAGACTTCAATTTTGATCTTTTCCCAGACTAGCAGTATGTGGTAAGATACTCCAGTGACGCTGGGCAGCAGTTGCTGCAGCTCCCCATCAGCCACAAGATCACAAAAGGAAGCAGCCAATTCTCCACAGTGTATTGGGATGCTAAGTGCTGATGTTCTGTAAGTTAAGGTGTGTGACATGCATTTTCAGCTTACCATATTTTCAACCTACAACAGATTTATTTATCAGGAGGTAACACCATTATAGGTCAAAAAGCATCTGTATTTTTTGAAAGAATTCTTAAAAACAAAGTAATTAATCAAGCAAGTAGACCTCAAACCAACTTTAAGGAAATCAAAGCCAAATGCATAGTTTAATATAAGAACATTTTGATAGCAGCTGAACTAACAAACCTAACATAAGCAAGCAAAGTGCAAATAAAATAAAAACTTTTACTTACTTTGACTTGCTCTTGGCAACTTTTGTTGTGTAAAGATTGGAAGAGAAAAAGTATATATGTTTATTATCGCTCTTATGCAAAATTCATATAAACATCATATAAACATCAGTAGTAGACAGAAATATTTAATTCATGAAGTATGCCATAAATTTTCACTCAAGTAACTAATCCCTAGATAACAGAAAACCCAACAGCATTTTACAGAAACAAGGTAAGATCCAATCAAAGCAACACAGTTCTGACTGCAATACTTTGCACAGTCATTGCACTTGGACTGGCTACTTTTCAAGTCTTTCTAAAGTAGTATTTACTCCACGTTTTCCTTTTTTAGGGTGCAAAAACTGCACTTGAAACAAGCCTCCTGTTTAACAAATCAGGCTTTGCAAGTTACAGCACTATCAGGTGAAGTGGCGAAGGGAAAATAATCTAGCCAGAAAGCCAGCCTGGGGCAGGGCAGAGCACTGACGGGGAAGTCAAGGGATGTCTTCCACTGCCCAGCGCTGTCGGGCAGCTCAATGCCCCTCTCAGGAGTGGTTCCCTCATTTTTAGAGTTCGAAATAAGTGGGCCAGAAATTCTGAGGCCCATCCAGTCGGGACATCCAGTGATTCTTCTGACACGCCCCTACACCGCCCCCGCCCCCACGCCGCCTAAGCAGACCAAAAGTCGTGCTTTCGGTGTTCACACCGAGCACGAGCCGGTGTCACCGTCCAGCTGTTCACACACACACACACACACCCCGCAGCCGCCGGGACCCGCCCGTCCCCGGCCCCCGCCGCAGCCTCCAGCCCTACTTACAGGAGACCGCGGACAGCAACATGGCGACCGCACCCCTGGACCATACGCCACCGGCCTCCAAGCGCCCCGCAAACAACTGCTTCCGGGACAGGGGTCGGTTCCGGAAGAGGACATCCGGGAGTTGCCCGAGGCCACGCCCCCCAGCTGGAACCTGCAATTCGTCTGGCTTTTTGCTCTTTCCACCGTGTGTGTTTGGGTTTTGTAGTGGTGGACGGTTGAATCCCCTGTTCCAAGTACTCAGGATTCGCGCCCCGGGCCCTGGTTCCTACTCGTGGGTCAGAAAAAGGTGCCTTGCTTATTTATTTCATTAATCACCGCAGGGCACCGGAGGCTCACGTCTGTAATCCTAGCTACTTGGGAGGCTGAGATGAATAGGATTGCGGTTCGAGGCCAGCCCAGGCAAATAGTTCTTGAGACTCTCCCTTTCCCCCATATCCAGAATAACCAAAGCAAAATGGCCTGGAGGCATGGCTCAAGCGGTAGAGCGCCTGCTTTGCAAGCGTGAAACCCTGAGCTCAAATCTCAGTCCCAACAACAAAAAAAAAAAGTAATCGCAACCACCTGTATTAAAGCCTCAGAAACTGTTCGTTGTACCTCAGCCACTCCAGACTATCAGCCCCTAATATTTCCTTTAAATATGTAGATAGAAAGTCTCTTCCTACCCAACTCCGCCACCTGGTTAAGGCCAACTCTGTCCCTTCAGAGTTAGGAACTTCACCTGAGTATCCCCCATTCTTTAATTTTCTGTTGGTTCCCTGAGAGATGCTCCTGTGTATCTCAACTACTGTATCCGAACACACATAGCACAGAGCATGACAATAGGGGCAGAATAACTTTGCCTGGAAGCACTCACATAACTTGCCTAAGGTCACAAAACTAGTGCGTGGCAGTTAGAATTTAAACCCAGATCTTGCCTGACTACAAAGACTGGTGTCTCCAATGGAATTTTATTCAGCTACAAAGAGGAATGAAACTTTGTCATTGGCAAGTAAATGGATGGAACTGGAGAACATAATCTTAAGCGGAGTTAGCCAGGCTCAGAAGGCCAAAAGTCATATGTTCTCCCTCATATATGGATTATAGATCTAAAACAAATGCAGTAATATTATTGGATATAAGGGGAGAACAAGCACAGGAGGAATAGGGAAAGGGAAGGAAACCTAAAACTTGAATGTGGTTGATGTGCTCCCTGTTGAGGAGTGAATATAGTAATCTTAAACTGGCAGAGGCCACTATGGGAAGGGGACCAGGAAGTAGTAAAGAGGTCTAGTAGAGATGAACCAATGTGGGTTGTGATACACCTGAGCATGGAAGTAATGCTAGGAATATCTCTGTATAACTATCTTTATCTCAAACTAGCAAAATATTTTCTCTTCAACAAATCCGAGAACAAGAGGGCAGAACAGGTGCTGCCTAGAAGCAGGGTTTGGGAGGGATGGGAGAGGAGGTGGGGGGAGGTGGCCCAAACAATGTATACATATGTGAGTAAATGTAAAAATGGTGAAATTTTTAAAAAAATTTTGAAGACTGGTGTCTCTTCCACTGTACATTATGATCTACCACTGAGCCATCATTCTTCATGTCTCTGCAAGGAACTTGAGCTCCAACGTCCGGGGACTTCATCCGTAACCTCATTTCCCAAATGACAATCTTGGACTTCGGGATTTTTTTCTAAACTCGTTTAATCTATAAATTTTGTGCAGACAAAAAAATTATAGACAAATGAAATAAGATTGTATCATAGATTATCTTCATTGAAAGCAGTATAGTTACTTGAAAGAAAATTCAGTTCTTTGCAGGTGCCCAAATCCTTCTTTACCTTGTGCAATTCACCTTCGGGCAAAAAAAAATAAAATAAAAAAGCAGCATTAGGTGCTCAAGAGGATAATGTTTTTTATCTGGGAAATACCTTTATATAACTTACACGAAAAGAATATAATGGGTGTGAGGGCGATCTGGCTGCGACATCTGTCACCCCATGGATCGCTGGATTGATTCGGCTGATCTGGCTGGCTAGGCGGGTGTCCCCTTCCTCCCTCACCACTCCTTGTGCTTCCCTCCCGAAGCTGCATGCACTGGGTGGAAGAGGACAACCATCTCCAATAGAGTTCAGTCAAGGGTATATGAGTAGCTGCGCATCCCTTCTAGAACCTCCAAACAAGCTCACAAGAAAAGAATATAGAACTGGAAGTCACAGAGCATGAATTCTAGACTTTGTTCTGTCCCTTGGAAAGTTACTTTTAACTTCTTAGGACTCAGGTCCATTGCTCAATGAATCTTATCCCTAACTGTGCATGAGACTCATCTGAGATCTTTCCAAAGATCCAGAAGAGGCCCAGAGCCTGTCTGTACAGTATTCACACATGCACTCACTTTTCTATACAGAATAATTTCAAACATACTAAAAGGTTGAAAGGAGGGATGGCAGAGGGGCTCAAATAGTAGAATGCCTGAATAGAAAGCGCAAGTCCCTGAATTCGATCCCCAGTACTGCCAAAAAAAAAAAAAAGTCGAGAAGATAGTGCAAAAACAAATCATATACCCAATTCAGCAAATGTTACTCTATTTATGTACATATTGGGGGGGTGTTGTATAACTAGTGGGGGTTTTGCTGAGCTGTGTGAAAGTAAACTGCAACATCACAACCCTTCACCCTGAATGGTGTACCTATCAGGAATAATGTGCCAGGCGCTGGTGACTCATGCCTATAATCCTAGCTACTTAGGAGGTAGAGGTCAGGAGGATTAATGGTGGGAAGCCAGCCCAGGCAAATAGTTTGGGAGACCCTATCTCGGAAATACTCAACAAGAAAAGGGCTGGTGGAGTAGCTCAAGTGGTAGAGCACCTGCCTAGCAAGTATGAGGCCCTGAGTTCAAACCCCAGTACTGCAAGAGTAAATTTTTTTTATTAATTTTTTTTTATTTTTTTATTATTCATATGTGCATACAATGCTTGGGTTATTTCAAGAGTAAATTTTTTTCACTTTACTAAGAATCAGAATAAGAAATTGGTATCATAGTCATTTCCAATGATGACAAAGAGGTTCTTCCCCTTTCTTAAATGTTTAGTGTCACTATAATGGCTTTTTACTCATGGTTTTATAATTATCTGAGGTCACTATACTTTTTGATGCTCAGATTTACCAAGATGTGGCCATTAAGAGCTCCCTCCAATGTTTGCTTGTTTTGTTTTGTTTTTTTCCAGCACTGGGGGTTGAACTCAGGGCCTCACACTTGCTCTGTGGGAGCTCTACCACCCCAATCACTCTGTCAGCCCTCCGATGTTCTTTCGACACATTCCCCTCCATGCTTTCTGTCACAGGCTATTGCAGGTTAACCTTGTACTTTCTTTGGCCCAGACCTGGAATCAGCTATTTCCCCAAGGTGCTCTGGCTCCTTTTTTGTGGGGAGTGATGTATAGAAGCCATGATCTGGTACACAACCACTGGACTAGATTAGTGGATTTCAAGCTTTCTTTTAAACCATGGGGCTCTTCATTCAAATGTAATACATCTCAGAAGTAAAATAAAACTCAATGTAAGATAAAGCTGTATGTTTTGCGTGTGTGTGTGTGAGCATGTGCTTCAGGGGATTAAACTCAAGGCTTTGCATTTGCTGGGCAAATACTCTGCTATTTGAACCATGCCCCCAGCAGCAAAGCTGCACCTCTTGATAGATGTCCTCAGAACCCTGGACTCCATGGGTCCCAGAAGCTCAATAGAATGGCTATGTTCTCTTCCAGCCCTGTGCTGTGGATTACAGTCCAAGGTTTTAAGCCCCACCCACAGGACCCTGGAGCTCCTGCCCACTTCCCGCTACGGACAGCTTGCTTCCCACACTGCCTGACCATGCAGACAGTAAATGCATAGACGCCGTGTAAAGAACGTGTTTCAGAGAGGGCTACTGCAAATGATGCTGGTAGGTGTCAAGTAAAATTATGAGGCCCAGGATGTGATTTGGCAGGGTGAAGATCACTGGGGGCCTCATAACAGTGGCTTCTATGAAGAACATGAGGCAAAAGCTTGAGGACAGACTCATAAAAAGAGATACTGGCTATAACTTGGTCCTGAATTGTTGCAATATGAAGCTTAAAACATCACCTATGAAGTTCTCACAACCAAAATCAATTCCCCAAACTTGCTCAGCATCCCCTACCCTTGAGGTTTCTCCCAAGTTTAGTATGTTACAAGTTTCTAGTTGCTCAAGTCAAAGCCCAACTTGCTACCTCTTTCTCTCCCACCCATGAGTAAGTTATGTCATTTCATCAGTGAGGACTTCCCTGGCCACCCTATGTAAAATAGCAGTTCTCAGACTCTGCAGACAAACTCCCTATTCTACCTACTCCAATCTGTATTTTCCTTAAGGAGCATTTGCTGTCATTTAATTTTGTTTGTGTACTCATTCATCTCCCTACAGTCTTTGTCCACCAGAACATAACTTTTTAAAATCAGGGTTTATTTAATTTCATGTTGTTTGTTAGAGTCCACATCTTATACAGTACCTTCTCATATAAGCACTATTTCTTTCATATACTGCTAAATAGAATAGGTACTAAGTGATAGAAAGTAATATTTTTCCCCAAGTTTGGTAAGGAAATAGTTAGCAATTAAGCTATTTTACCAAAAGAAACACTTTCAATTGGGATGAAAGTCTCGCTTATCATCTAACAATTAGAGGTGTTTTATTACCTTAACATTACAACAGTTTATTTGTAATTTTATATAATTACATATTATAAAGTTGATTGTGACAGTAAACTAGGTATATCTTAGATATTAATAAAAATAACTTTCTTTGAAGTTTTATGAGGCACTTACCTTGTTTGGGTAAAAGTTAGTTTTTCCTTAGAATGTACTGATGAAAATTCCAACCTATCTAGCAAATAATTCATTCAAGAACAATGTGATGCCTTTGATATGTGAGATACCATGTAACAAGATGACTCTGCCATCATTTGGAGACAGAATATTGAAAGCCTTCCATAGAGAGGCTAAGTATTCAGAAGCTAGGTCTGGACCATCCTCCCTGTGAGGCATTGACAGAATATGCTAGCAGGGTCAGATTCCGCACTGCTGAATAGTCAGTTCTTA